TGTCACAGGTGTATATAATCAAGCACCTAGCTATGCAGTCTGCATTTATATATGGAAATATCTTCAGGGCCCACAACAAGACTATTTTGGTAAGACTTGCAAAGACTTCTCATTGAGCTGCACTGGGAAGTCTGTGATTGGACAGTCACAGACAGTCTGGGCGGAGTTAGAAGCGGAGGACTTGCAAAGGCAGCAGACACATTATCTGCAGCATTTTCAATTTGTTTTTAGATAAACACCAATTTAAAACGCATAATTAAATGCATGAATGTTTTCATTGGGGTATTTGTACTGAACAGTAATCTCCATTTGTACTTGGGCAGCAGGATATCCATTTAAGGAAGTTATGAAATCCTGCAGCATCTAATTCAACGTGCTAGCAGATGCACTTATGATGCTCAGCCCTACAGCATTAAGTACTCTAACGCATTCTTTAAAATCAAAACAATCTGTTGACGCTGATGATAAATGGGCATTCAAGTTCATATTGCATTTTACCCTTTTCCATTAATAAACTACCCCCATATTTTTTCAGGCGCTCCTGTTAAATTTGAAATTCCAATTCCAATGGTTATCCGTATTAAAGACTATAAAGTCCAACACGAAACACTAATATGTTCTATAAATCACATTGTGGACAAATCTTTGATTTAATTCAAGTATTAAATGAATTTATATTTATAAGCTTCACACCTGCTGTTTTAACCCCAAACCATCCTCAATTAACCCACCACTATACTGCATTAAAATCCTGCACCCTCATCAATACTACCACAAACTCCAAATATGGGGCACATGAAAGGGACACTGTTGCAATGTATATGATTTGAGGTGTTCTATCTCACTTATTATTACAAGACACTTGAAAAGGTGCCTAAAGGAGACTCCAGGCCTGTCAACCCCTCCCCAGCATCCTGTAACCTGCCATATACCCATCACTTTTCGCCACACACTACCCTACAAGTAAACCACCCTTCATTGCTCGAGGCAGTTCCATTACCAAATCATCTTTACCCCTAACAATAGCTGGGGTGAGCAGGTAAAGGTAAAAAGGGGAACATTTTGAATCCTTCTACATGAATCACTATAGATGTCTGAATTTCACAATAGTACTCAAATAATCATAATAATTCAATTTAAATGGGAACAACATTATTAAGTATAAAACCAAAGACTACAAAATAAATGTTTTTTTCTGTCTTCACAGAACAATTAGCTGTCACAAGTATAACATAAAATATCTTCTCTATAGCCTGGTATTGTTTTTCAAAGGATTGTTTATAGACATAAGGGGTTTATATCTATATTTCTGGTTTGTTTCTCCTTTCAAAATGTAATACACATTTCTAGGCACATTTGTATGTGCTATCCTACTGCAATGTGTGAATTAAACTGCATAATGCCAACTAAAACATCCGCTACAGTCATGCCAACACTAAGTGAATATAAAGTGATAAATTAAACGTAGAACATGATAAATAAGCTGCAGTAAGTATATGGGCAATACACACTCTATTATTCATGACATTAGTGCCATATTAGATGATCAAACAACAGGATATAGACACAATAAGTACCAGTTGATATCTAGAATGGTTGACCAGTGTATTTAATTGTATATTTTTTTATTATCTATAGAATACTGTGTTTTATATAAAGGTAGTTTAAAAAGCACAGCTGTGAAGTCTGGCAAATCAGTTGTATGCAAAGACATCACCGCTGCATTGTAGACTAATACCAAACACAACCACCAATAAAAAATATATGTTATGAAAAGGTACAATTTATTTTTTTCCACAAAATTAATGCATATGTATCAGTTACCAAAGCAAATTGTCCTCTCTTTGTTTGCAAAAAGTAATACAAATAACACTGTAAATAGAGTGGTTAAAGGGATTAATGTTGAGCAAGAATATTTTTTTATTTTTTTTAAGTCTTTAATTTAACCAATACAATTTGGAAACAAAGAGACAAAAGAAAAAAAAATAATTGTGCGTGATTATGCAAAAGGGTAAAGACCAATAAGAATGCAAGTACTTAAAAGACAAAATGCCCCAGGCTGGCTTCTGATTTTTTTAACTTTTTCAAGTTTAGAATTTTCCATTTTACAAAAATTCTATTCAGACAATCCTCTTGGAACTCAAGATAGCAAAATGCAGTAAAGTGTACATTTGCAGTATACCATAGAGCATCTTTCAGTAAACTCCTACTGTGTATTCAGTAAGTGTTGGGCTTGCCTGTTCTATCCTCTTAGGGTGTGCAGTCAGCCTGGCTTTTTCCAGTCTCTGTCCTGTGGGACAAACTCGTGTATAATATATCCATTATGACAGGGCAAAAGATGGAAGCATATTTTAGTCTAAGCGAAATACTGGACTCAGTAATATGCCAGCAATGTCTAAGGTGGATGAGAATTATGTGCTCAATGTGTTCTTCAAAATGCATTATTAATGTAGCCCATGGAGATATTTTTACTATAACAAATGTGTTCTAAAGTATATCCTGCAGGGTGCAAGTCCTGCTATACACTTTGAACTCACTCTCCAAGAAGAAAGCTCAACTAAAACGTTTTAAAGTTCCTATTAAAAACATATAATTCTGACTACAGATTTCCTCAAAGCTAGTATGTCTGCAGATTAGAATGTCCAGAATTAGTAATGGTGGAATTCAGAATTCCAGCATTAAGTCTATTCGACAGTATTTCATAACAAGGGCAATGGATAGCATAACTAAAAATGTTTTACATATTAAGGGGTCTATTTATTGTCAAACAACTTTATTTCTCTCATGTAGCTTCAACTTAACACCAAAGTGATACTTGCCAGATGATGGTGATCTGCTGCTATGTTAGCAAAACAAAAAGTATTCCAAGCAAATCAAAACCACTACATAGGAAACCATAAAAAACTGCAGCTGTGGGGTGTGGGGCCTGACAGCAAAGATGGCAGACGCACTTGCTCATAGCTCCGGCAGCAATGGGCACATACTGAGCCCTAAACGAGACACACCTCGACGCGTACAACTTTTCCAGACCAGAAGGCTGACCTGCATCCAAGGGGGCACAAAGCAGTACCCGAATCTTGAAATTCTGCTGAAAGAAATCACAGCCCGGCTGTGCGGCCTAATCTGAAGCGTGACAAGCATGGACATCGCGGGCCACAACACGCAGAAAGCTTCAGCCTGGGTCCCCGTTCCCCCCCATGGACCAGCGGGGGTATCCCGGTCCCCACTAGCCTGGGGCACACTGCAAAACTGGCCCTGGTTACACTCTACAGCCTAAGCGACACGGACAGCAGGCCACACAAGATGGCATCTGCGTTCCGGCGGCAGATGCTTACGCAACCACAGCATGGTGGCCAGAGTAATAACCCAGTGGAGCACTACATTGTGCAACTGGACAGAATCTTCCAAAGGTTTTAGGAGCATTTGGCCGCAGCAGACTGGTCCAGCCTAATCCTGAGGGAGAGGTGAGGAGGGTCAAGGAATGGAGCCGGGGGGGTGGGGGGACTCCCTTGGGCAAACTCCACAGAGCAGCTGTTACTATCTGTCCCAAACACCTTCCTGGGCCTAAGGCCATACGAAGAAAGCCTCCTCGGTACTGACCACATCGCCGGAAGCCCGACCCACGGTGGCGGCGGCAGAACACCCGCGCTTTCCATGGAGCCCGACAGAGGGGAGACCTGGCCTCAACAAGATACCAAGTTTGCATGTGTGTGTGTATGTGCCTATCTGTGCCTGTCATCAAGTGTGAGTGGGCCAAGAGGCATGTGAAGTGGTGGAATTATAATAAGCATTAAATAAGCAATAAAACAACATAATCTGTAAAAAATTATTTCCTGTCTTCAAACACAAAAACATGGCCAAAATAAAAAGTCATCATAACTAAATACTAAATTAAATTAAAAATAATATAATTCTTTTTTTTTTTTTTTTTATTCCCATGTTTTATTGTTCTCAACAAAAATATAGCATCCAGAACTTTACCATGTCTAATGAGACTATATCATTACAGGGCATTACAGTTAATCACATGCTTGTTTGAACTACTGTTATTTTTAATTTTAAGTTTAGGGCCAATTGTACTGCCTAGTTAACTCCTTGGTGGTTTTTTAATTTTTTTTATATATTTTAATTTTTTTGTTTTCTTGTCATTTTTGCACAAATCACTCCACCATACAATAACGTAACAGTGTAGAACAACAGAACATTATACAGGAAAGTACAATTATACGTTTTCAGTAACATTGATGCCCAAGTGATATTATCCTATACATATTAAAGCATTAATACTTAGGCTTGGAGCCGTGAGAATTGTTCAACATTCGTCTATTGCTGTCCTAAGACCTAATTTCTCCACTTCCCCCGCCTACCTTTGTTATATCTATTGTATATTGTATCATCACCCTGGAATGTTCCTGTGTTCCTTTCAGAAAGTTTTTCCAAGGTTGCCATATATCTGTATACCTATGGTATTTGTCTAGGGACCCCCATCTGAGTTCCTCCAACCCATGGAAGTGTTCAATTTTTAAGTACCAATCCTTCCTAGAGGGCAAGTTTCTTGATTTCCAATTGCTTACTATGATATATTTGGCTGCTGTCAGCATGAAGTAAATTAGGGAGTGTTTGAGATATCTTTGTGGGATATGAAAGTGGTACAGAAGTAGTGCTTCTAGATTGAAAGGTATGTTCACATTTGTTACCAGGTTAGCAGTGTTCCAGACTTCTTTCCATGAGCCAGAGACTGGTCCACAATTCCACAATATGTGCTGGAAGGTTACCCTTCTCTGAGTCACAACTCCAACATTTGTGGGATGCGTTAGGATCAAATCTCTTTACATCTATCGGGGTAATGTACCACCTCGACACAAATTTATAGTTAATTTCTTGCAATTGGACTGCACATGAAATATAGTTTTAAAAATTGTCGCCCATTCCTTCTGCCCCAAGTCAGTGTCCAAGTGGTCCCTCCATAGTCTAGTAAAGTATGGTAGTTGCGTATGTACCTGGGTCTGTAGTAGTTTGTAACATAATGAAGTCTGTTTAGGGGGTGATTTATCTCCCAAGCATAACCTCTCAAACCTGGTTGGATCTCTTGGTGTCAAGCCAGAAAGGCCCTGTGCCGTCAAGATATGCCTCATTTGCCCATATTGGAACCTCTGCATAAGGGTTGGGATTTTACCTTCTGTCAGCTGTGTGACAGGATTTTTTCCCTCCACTCCTACCACCTCAGCTAGTGTGATATATGTGGCCTTTTTAGTTCTTCTCTGTGGCGTTAGCTGCATACCTCCCTTCCCTGCCATGAAAAGAGGGTTGTCGGCTATAGGATATTTAGGGGATGGAGTTGGGGCTATGTCAGTCATTTTATATATTTTTTTCCACATCTGTAGTGTAGGTGTTACCGTCGGGTGTGTAGGAGTCGCCCATTCACCCGATGTTGTCAGTAACCAAGGCAGAGCCTCCAATGATTCTCCTACCTGAGTTTGTTCAATCTGGACCCACAATTTAGATGATGCCTGGAATGACCAGTCTATTATACGGCCCAAGTGGATTGCTTAATAGTTTAGTTAGATGTCTGGAAGGCCCACTCCCTCTCCCTCCTTAGGCCTAGAGAGGATATGGAATCTTATTTTCGGGCGTCACTTGGCCCATATAAATTGAGTGAACATTGACTGAATCTTCTTGAAAAATGTTCGTGGGATGCTGATTGGAAGGGTGTTTAATAAATATAGCAGTTTGGGGAGTGTATTCATTTTAAGGATGTTGACCCAGCCAAACCATCGGACATGTGGTTTGTCCCATGCTTCCAAGTCCCTACTAATAGCTCCCAGCAATTGAGGGAAGTTGGCTCCATACAACAATTTGGTATGGGGGGTTATGTTAACTCCCAGATATTTGATAGATTTTGTGGCCCATTGGAATGCATATTGTGTTTGTAGTCGGGTTTTGTCCCTTTCTGGGAGAGTAAGGTTTAATATCTCGCATTTTTCTGTGTTTATTTTAAAATTGGATAAGGCACTAAATTCGGACAGTGTATCCATCAATGCTGGGAGAGACGATATCGGATTATTGAGGGTAAATAGTAAATCGTCCGCAAATGTGGATACTTTATATTGGTGTCAGCCTATTTTCATTCCTTCCACCATAGATTGGTTCCTCACTGTGTTTAATAAAGGCTCCAAGCCTAGAATGAATAGCAGCGGGGATAGTGGGCATCCCTGCCTTGTGCCGTTGCTGAGAGGTTCGAGTAGATCGCCTGGATCCACTGCATCTACCTCTGACCAAACCCCAGGGTTTCCAGTGTCGACAGAAGGAATTTCCAATCCACCCTGTCGAACGCCTTCTACGCGTCGATAGCTAACATAATGGATGGGGTCTTATTCAAATGGTCTCCGTGAATCAGGCTAATTATTTTCGTACCGTTATCTTTGGCCTCGCTAGCTGGGACAAAGCCTGCCTGGTCCGGATGTATTAGACTCGGGAGCAATGGTTTTAGTCTCAGTGCAAGCATTTTCATAAAGATTTTCATGTCAATGTTGATTAACGATATTGGTCTGTAACTGCCACATGCTTCCTGGTTTTTCCCAGCTTTGTGGAGGAGAGTGATATTGGCTTCTAAGCTTGCCTGGGGAATTGGATTGTCTGGGTCTATAGAGTTGATGGCGTCTAGTAGATGTTGCCCTAGTTCCTTCAAATACGTCTTCTAGTATGAGGCTGAATAGCCATCCGGGCCCTGGCTCTTGCCCGAGGGGGTGGATTTGACTGTGTTTATGAGCTCTGTTAATGTGAATGGCTCATCCAAGGACCTGGTCAGTATCTGGGGGAGTACTCTGTCAAATTTGTATGCTAAATGGGTCTGAAGCATCTCCTTGTTCTGTGTTGTCTTTGTTATATTATATAACGAATGGTAAAATTCCCTAAATGTGTTCGCTATTTCTTCATTTGTTTGTACTGTTTTGTTGTTAGCTGTTTTAATTTGAGGGATGTATGTTCTCCCTTGTCTTTGTTTGAGTGCATTGGCTAGGAGTTTCCCACACCTATTCCCCTGGGCATAGAATAGTTGCTTATTCCACCCTAGTGATTTAGTAGCTATTGATTGTAATAGTAAGGTCAGTTCAGACCTAAGTGAAAGGAGTTTTCGGTGGTCTGCTTCAGACATAGTTATCTTATGTGCTTCCTCCAAGTCTTTTTTGTCAGTGATTAACTCCGTCTGTCTCTTAATACTTTCTTTCTTTAAAAAGGAGCCCCATTTTATTAGTTCCCCCCCAACACATTTATGTGCTTTCCATTGGAGGAAAGGGGTAGTGTCTTGTGTCATATTGTCTTGGAAATATTGGGATATGGCCTTAGCAACTGCCTGTTTTGCTGCCTCATTGTGTAGTATGGTGGTGTACAGCCTTTGCCTTGAGCTAGAGATGGGATCCTTATTTGCACATGTAATGTTGCCAATAGTCGCTGAAGTCACTAGGGAAAGATCCCTACGAGTTGTGAGGAAGAAGTCTATTCTAGTGTATGTGGAAGCAGGTCTCGAGTAAAATGTGTAGTTCTTTGTAGTAGGTTGTAGGGCTCTCCAGCAGTCTACAAGTTGATGGCTATGTAATAGTCATTTTATTTGCGCCCTGATTGGGTGTAGGTGGCTGGAATGTTGTGCCGTGCTGTCTTTTTGAGCATCTATAGAAATGTTAAAATCACCTCCCACAAATAGAGTCCCTGTGGTGTGTTGTTGGATTTTTGGTCAGTATTCTGCGGAACGTGTATCATTGTCTTGTGTTCGGTAGGTAGACGTTGACTACTGTTATAGGGAAGTTACCAATCAAGCCTTGTAGAATAATATATGGCCTGATTCATCAGTGTAATGTTGCTGGTAGACAAAGGACAAACAGGCTCCAATCAAAATAGCTACCCCATGTGATTTACTGTGTGTGAAATTATTATATTGTGCGTGTGGGTATTGCCTATTGGTCAACTTTGGGGCTGTGCATCCCTTAAAGTGAGTTTCCTGCACAAATACCACCTCTGCACGTAGTCTATGATATTCCTGTAGTGCCATGTTTCTCTTTTCTGGTGAGTTCAACCCCCGAACATTGTAGGAAAGTATGTTCAGTGTGTCTATGACATTTTTCTGATCAGTGGGTGTCGACATGATAGCCCTTGGACTGTCCTCAGCTAGTGCCAAGGTGTAATGTAGTGTGAGTGTGTGACTGTGCACCCGGTGTATAACAAAATAAAAAAAAAAGTAAAGAAAAAACTAACAAGACTAAACTAATGTGTAGCTTAACTGTCTGAACAGTAAACTTTTAAGAAAGTAATTTCCGGACCTTGGAATCACTTAGGAAAGTTAGTGTCTCCATTAACAAAATAGGAGTCGGTACTCGTATCCATACCCCGTCAGTTAAGGTAACTGACGGGGTAAGGATACGGGTATATGTGTCTTGTGTTATAAATGATGTATTAGTACACCACTCGTAACCTTGTCTCATTACTCGGGGAATTTTGCATTGTTTGTTAGTAACACTTGTAACAAATTGTGGCTTTGAACTGTAGTTTTCTGCTGAAATACAAGTATGAGCTGCAGCTCCCTGCAACCGTTTTTCATTTTGTTAGTGTCATAGCGCCGCTAAGCGCCGTTCTGATAATTATTTGGTCTACTGTCACCCCTATTGGGGGTTCAGACCCTGGTATAGTACATCCCCTGTAGTCTTCCTAACTGCCCCCGTATGCATTAGCATTACCCTAGTCTGATAGAGAGGTGTCCCGCTGGGTTTGCATCTGGACTTGTCACTTTTTAGTTTGTGTATATATATTTTTTTTTTTTTGCAGTTAGAAAGAGACAGATGTGTGCCTGTATCACCCTTAATGGTAGCCGTAAGTGTAAATGTGTCATCTCGGGTTCCCTCTCTTCCTCCTCCCTCCACCGGTGACCACATCTCTTGTAAGTTGCAGTCCCCTCTACGCCCCAACCCCCACACATTGCATTATCATTGACTGTGGTGTATCACTGGCACATAACTATATGATAGTATCTCCCATTTCACAGTGTATGGTGCCTAAATTGTTACTTGCACCTTTCTGGAGAAATTGCCAGCATGCGTCATCTGGTACGAAGCTGAAGAAAGTCCCATTCTGTCCTTGGGCCTGTGGCCTAGAGTGTCCCCAATGTCCCCAGCGTGGTCGGTGCCTGTTTCTCGCCATGTCTCCCCCCCCCGCCCAAAGGTTGTGTGACCCATTAATTTTGTAGATAGCGTGGCTCTTTAGGTTCCTCGCAATGATGGCCTAGGCCTGGATGTGGGCGTAAAAGGAAGCCTCTTTCCCGGTGTTCTTCTCTTCTCCGCCGCTCCTCTTCCTCGACTCCTCTGTGGTAATGCCCATGAGTCTCCTTGTGCCAAGGGGTCATACCAGTCCTGAATCTCGACTTGAGGGAGGTAAAATGTTTTAATAAAGTCTGGTATATCAAGGACTGTATTGATGTGGCTCTGTACCCCTTGGTGAGATGCCATTAGTGAGAACGGGTAACCCCAATGATACCTTATGTTCTTAGACTGCAAGGCTTGGGTGATGGGTTTCAGAGCCGTTCTACCTTGTAGTGTCAGCCAGGCCAGGTCAGGTAGGATCTTGATGTTAAGGGCTGGGGAGTTTCTGCCTTGACATAGTATATCTTCTTTCAGGGTGTAATAATGACCCCAACAGATGATGTCTCTGGGTGTTTCCTGCGGTAGTCCTCTGGGCCTTACTGCCCTGTGTGCTCTATCTAGCAGTATTGGTGTGTCTGTGGCACGCTGTAGGATATTATTAAAAAGGGTCTGGAGGATGTCCCTGATGTCTTCAGAGTCCCCCTGTTGTCGAGGTCTTCGGTGTGGTGCATAATGTGTGCCATATTTAACTCTTGAGCTTCTTGTCTTTGCTCTATGTTGTGCAGCCTGAGTTGTATGTTGTCCCTGTCCTCCTCCAGGTCTCCCATTCGCAGCCCTATCTGGCGGACTTCCATGGTAATGGATGAGAGTTTTTCTTGCATAGAGGCCTCTAGTTTTGCCAGCATAGAGGCTAGATCTTCTTTCGAGAGTAAGTTCTGCAGAATCTCCTGCAACATCGCGTTCCCAGCTCGGTATATGCTTTCGGAGCTTGCAGGGCTCGCCGGAGGAGTGCCACGTGGGAAAGATGGCGGCACCTCAGTATCTGCCTCCATGAGCGTTCTCAACTTGTCCCTGAAATAGCGGTCCAAATCCCCCGCTTTCTTGTTGGAACTCGGTCCCGGTGTATCCTGAGAGTAGATGAGTTTCTTTTTATTACCCATTTTCCTTTTAATTTGCATTTGGCGGCAGTAAATGGAATGGTTGGACGGGAGCTCTGCAAAGAAGCGACCGTTCACATGGACAGTTAGGCCACGCCCCTCCAAAATAATTTAATTCTACGGAATAAAAATAAATCCAGACACTCTTAGAAGGAGGGCCCCATCACAGCAGGAAGTGAGTGTTTCACTCTTTAATAAGGCTCACGTAGCCCTCACAGCCTAAGCACAAACGTTCCACATTTCTGTGGTTCTTCTAAAACAGGGTGTCACGGCAAGGGTGCATAATTTATTATTACACTATGGAATATTATCCTTTAATGTAATTTGTGTAGTAAATGGCACAAATTACAGAGATGCTATTGCTGAGGTCAACAGAGGTTACATCTTTTGAAGCTTGGACCCCCACAGAGGTCAGATGACCCCCACAGAGGTCAGATGAATGGCATAGGAATGTAAAAAGGATTTTACTATTTGGATGTGAAGTAATCAAGGCTCTGCAAGGTGTGAGGTTCTACACTTGGAAAAGTCTGAATGTCTCTTCATCCATTTGGCATGTACCTTGTAAAGGATAGTTCAATCCTTTGATATGGTAATGAGATTAGTTTCATGAAGATCCTTGTGTTCCAGTATCTTATCCAAGAGAAACATTAATACTTACCCACAGTTTAATAATTAAGCCTCATTTTTATTATATTTGGAAGGGGAAAAGCCCAATCTCTTAATTAAGCCTAAACATGAGTTACACAACTTAAACCGTGTGGCAGGAATTGTGATGTCCGTCCTATTGGATCGTGGGTGGGACGTGCAACATGTCTATGGAATGGGAAAATAATAACAAATTTGTATATGCAATTATTATTTCTGTGGCAGGTACAAAAAAGAAGATAGAGCCAAATGTTTCCATTTGGATTGACAGTGGTCTGGAACAAAGGAGGTGCTCAGTTATTATTTCTGTAGGTACGCCTTAACTCCACCCCTGGGCAAGACTTGATAAACCACAGGATATATATCTAATGATCCTGAAGGGTGCTGGTGTACTTGCTTGGGGCCAAGATCTAATGTTGAGTAAGTCACCATCATCCTTCCTTGCCAGAGACCCCCTGGACAGAAGTTGTACTTTGAAAACCTAAGTGAGTAATTAGGACTTCTGTATTTTATCCTTTTTGTTTTTATCTGTTGGTGTAATTAATTTGTTTATCATATATTTTATATGCACTGTGACTATTTTTGCTCATAATAAACATTAATTTATTAAGTTCTGCCTCTGTCTGGTTAAGAATCACGTTACCTGAAGAGACTAGTTAGTATTTTTGCAATTCCTTAAGTATTGTATTAAGTAATATTTGGTGGGTTTTATTACTGATTTACCTGGGGGACCATGGCACCCCATTTATAAATTGTCTTGGTGGTGGCAGCGTTAAAATAGTAATAGTTTTATTTTTTTATGTTTAAGTGTGGGTGGTGTTAAAAGGGGGATTTTATCATTATTTCCGGTCTAGTGCAGACAAATAGTGAACTTTAACCCTTTCACCACCACAACTACGTCACGCACACTCTTGGAGTAGGGTCCGTACGTGACACAGGGAACAGCAAATGTCCACCAAATTAGTACAATCCAGTTAAGTGGAGGGTAACACAGAAAAAGTACAATTAACAGGCCATGCATTAATGCTACAGCCAAAGGTTAGGATAATCAAAGAGAATGACCAAGTTTCAGTCATAGCCTTAATCATGTATATGGCACATGGTAGTTATTACAGTGTTTTACATTATCAGTTGTAAATATTTAATCCTAGAGAGATCACATGACCAAAGGAACCAATTATATACGGGGAAAAAAATGAAAACACAAATTAGAAATGATATAGCAACAAAGCTGCAAATGTTACACTGTACTATGGTCATGCTACTATGTACTATGGTGACATTTTAGCATGTATGTAATGGAGCTCCCTGTACCTCTGCCAAAGGACCGCTTCCTAGCTGGAACAGAGGACAAACCTCAGCACTCTGGCCCTCAGTCGCTGTGGCTTGACTGGGCACTAGAACCACTGCCAATGGGGAAATAGCTCTAGACACCCCCAGACACTGGACGACACTCAGTCCTGGGAGCTCTAGTCCTTACAAGGACTTCCCCTGTTGAATCTCCTGCAAGCTGGAACAGCAGAAACAGGAGCAGATCTTCTTTCCCTCCAATAACAGGACGACGCACAGTTTTGGAGTGTAAGCTGGGATAGGATTTTAATGGAGGCACCCTGACCTTTTATGCAAGTTTCCTAACAAGGGCGACACCCAGGTGGACATTGTTGAGCACAGGGACACAAAGTGAACAAACCAATAAAAACAGAGTCATACAGTGAGACACTCCCATACACAAACAATAGAATCCCTCCTCTGTGCTTGGGAGATAATTGCATCAGGAACTGTACTGATCTAACCTAATTATTTCCAAGCACAGAAAAAAACATACAATTTTATGAAACCCCAAAAAGAAACTTAAAAACACACAAAACCTCCTGATAGCACCAATCTGGGTGCACAACATATCCAAAAATCACCCAGATCGGTTCAGGGGTTCAGGAATTTCCTGGAAGTCATAGTTTTGACCGACCACAAGCATGGCCCCATGCCCAAAACAGTTCCAGGGAAATCATTGCTAACAGTCGGTCAAGTTCGGTAGTCTTTTACAGGTTTCCCTGCAGGGCCCATAGTCTGTGGGCAGGAGGCTGGCAAGCAGGCTCCTCCGGGAGCTCGTGGCAAACTCAGGTAAAAAGGAGAGTTTGCCACAATGTAGATCACAAAACCTGACTCACATGTAAAAAATATTTGATAGCAATACATTTACATTTTCTGTAGTAGGTAAGGTGGTCTCTTTTTGTGACTGCACCCAAGGCATGGAAATGTAGCAAATGTTGTGGCTGATTAAAATCTTTGAAAATTAGGAGCTAAAGGTTTTAATATCTGTCTTAAGTAATCTATCACGAAAATTAATTTTGCACCTGAACGATAATAAAGGCGGTTGGCTGAAATCTGGGTTTTTAGAGTAACATTTCTGTAAAATACCATGCACGTGTGATAAGTGTTACTTATAAGACATTCAACCAACTGACTTTGATCATTAAACGTAGGTACAAAAGGTATATCTGCTGTTCTTTTGTGTTTTTTTAATTATCCTTTCTAACATGTAAGGACCCTTATTGAAAGTGCATATTGCAGAGTGGTATAAAAATAAATTATGTGCTGCAGGAGAATATTATATTTAAGAGTCAAGATCAAATGGGAGACGTGCAGCTTCTAAAACCCTTAGACTGGTAGGGGAACTTGATGGTTAGAATTGAACATTTGACTACAAAAATATACACTAACCATATATCCAAGCAATTATTAAACATGATCAGTAGTCCTATTATGAACCTCCTAGATAAAGAAAATGAGACACAAGGTATAGTCCACCTGCTGATAAGATCTATAAAGCAATTCACTAGTTCATCTGCAATAAATTAAAGCATAGGGACAAATCTATATATTCTATATGTTATTATTAAAAAAAAGAACTCTTGCTGTCTGTTTTCTTCAAGAATTCTTAATCTTGTTTCCAAACATCTTTTTCTTGCCTTTTCTAAATGCAAAGTCGGATGCTATTTATTCCATAGGCTCTTTATTTTTTATGCTTTTAATGAAATGTCAGCTATATTTACAATCAATATTTTAGCTTTGTTCTTATCTTTTCACATGCTTTTAACACTTTATTGTAAGAGGGTAGCGCATGAAAGGACTTCATCATATGTTGCTTAGTACCCGTGGGAGAAAGGTCTAATACTTGGTATATAATTATTCAAATGCTATTAACAGCACGCGATGCAAAATTACATTTTAAGGTAGAAACGTCAAAAAGAATTTTCATGATCATCTCCCTATGGAAATTAAGTCTACCGCTTTGAAACGGCGTATGGAAATATAACTGTTTTATATTCCTAAAATGACTTTAGCGATTATATAACATTTTCAGATACTTTCCTGATATCTAGTATGGGGGAAAAAAAACTTATGAAAACATGTTAATTCTTATCTGTTTGTAGGCAGAAGCCAACAATATATTCAATCAAGGAAGCTATTTCTTTCGATTTGATAATAGCAAGAACTGAGTTAGCAGTCACATATTATTTACTTCTGGCTCATCAGATAAATTCTGGCTAAAATTTGTTGTGGATTGCAACACAGAGTGACATTAAATGATTTACTGACTAATGATATAATTTCTGTAAAATATTCGAGCAGGAAAGAAAAAAAATATTAAAGTCCCATTTAACTGCATTATTGTTGACTACTTGGTAAATGACAAGCAAAAAATATGGGATTCTATTCACCTATTCATGAATAGAAAATCAAACTGCTAATTTTTGGCTCAAATAGTCAAGCCGAGTTTAAGAATTTTTCCTCCATAATCATTATTTCAGAGAGGATGGCACGATGGATATAAATAGGATTACCATATCGGCAGCTCACAAGACTGATATCAGAGGTATTTTACTTAAAATAGCCTCCTACTTTTTATTTTTTTTTTACAGAACTTCCAACTCCACTGGTACTGACCACCAAAATAACATTTACAGTTCTGAAAATTGAACATACATTTATTTATTAAGGAAAAGAGATACAAGAAAACCCAGAGGGTACATAAAATCTAAGTAGTACACCTACGGGTTTCTAGTATAGCTAAAGCAACCCCTAGCCCAATAAAATATAACTTTTAATAATCAATAATTAAAAAGAAAAAGAAAGGAAAAACAAGCACAATCGCTATATAGAAAAAATATCTAGAAAAAATGATTAATGTTAGGAGGAAAAAGAAGGCATAATATAGATAGAAGTCAAAATGTGTCACATTAGTCCAATAGTGGCACAGGTGATTCAGGGATAGTAGGGTTAAAGCATAGACTATACAGAGTAGCCCAGAGTTCCCACCCTACTCCTATCATCCAGTAACACCGTAGTGACTAAAT